TATGGTAAGAAAACATGAAATTTAACAAAATAAAACAAATAATAATTATTGACAACCTTGTGACCACTTCAAAAGGTAATATGAAAATGAAGTTGCCCAGAGATATTATAACAGGATGAGTTTAGAATCTTATTCTTAATTATTCTCTTATTTAAATGTGACCTGGAGGAACTGTCTCGGGCTAAGCTTGAAATAGAGAAATGTCTCATAGCTCCCTGCAACTGCATGAAAACAAACTGTTAATTGCTGTTTGCAGGCAGATAATCTTGTAGCACTTTATTCATCATTTCTTCATTATAGCTTAGCCTAATATCCAAAGGATTGTTTTGCATAAGGGTTGAAGGCATGAAAAGCAAACTAGAGGAATGAGGTAAGTTTATTTGAGGAAGAGCTATGTGTCAATCAGTAAAAAGTTACTGATGGGTTTGTCATTATTGTCAGCAACCGAGAAGACCTGAAACTGTTGGTCTATTCTCCTATCTGTTTGTTTGCTAAAAATATAAAGAATTTTGTGTTCCATGACTTCCTGAAAAGGCTCATGAACTGCCAGTAACTGAAGAAGAAGGAACAAGCAAAACAAGCTGGCAAACTGACATGTTTGTGGATCAGGAGTTTGACTTTTGTGGATGTTTAACATAAGCAAAGCATAAAAAGACTAATAAACTTTTTCATGCTGTGTCTGCTGAGGCCTCCCTTCTCTAGGATAAAACATCGTTCTGATAGCTGTCCAAGAAAAAAAGTTAATAGATGGGAGATAAAATTTCTGAGGGGAGAAAAGGTAGAACAGCATTTTTAAATAGAAGGTTGACTGTACACTGAAGAATAGAGCACTGTTCTTTCCTGTGTGTAGGCTGCTGTTTAAATTCAAAGGTTCTGTCTTCCTTGTTTCCCCAGGAATTCTAACTCCATCCCACAAAGCTACAGGTTCTTCAAGGAGCCTTAAAGACTAATGATCTCTGATTAATCATTCTCGTAAAGATGCATTTTCCTAAACTTGCTTTTTCCTAAACTTGCTTTTAACCTGTTGATAGCTCTGATACTGTAATATTTTGACTTCAGGGATGCTTTGCTCTTCATTTTGATGGCCACCATGGGTCTGTGATCACTAATTCTGATTAAACTTAACCCCAAAAGCAGCACATCTGAGACATTTTTACAGATCACTCCCCAGTGTGTACCCACTGCAATATTCACTGTTCAGTATTATGTTACTGTATAAGAATCCCACACAAGTAGAGGGAAATGCATCAGTTGGAAAGTAACAGTATTTAAAAAAAACTCCAACTCTGCCAAACAGGAAAACAAACACGTGCACACGCATACCCTCACACATAAAACCCTCTTCCCACACATACCCTTTCTGTAACACCTCTTGGATTTCTGATGAAAGCCAAGATACAAATGTGTCCATTTCATACATTTTTTTTTCCACCAGATCTTTTGTATTGTAAAGTAAACTTAAATACTGGTTTGTTTTTTGTTTTGTTTGTTTTTTTCCTCTTTGCTCAGTAATTTTATAAACAGCTCAAGGAATAGATTGCATTCAGACTTTGTTTTTCTCTGGCATGTCTTCTGGCTTCTAAAGAAATATTGTCACTGAACTGTAGATGTCACTTGTGCCAATGCACACATACACTCCCTTTCCACATTGTTTCCTGTGACTTTTAAAGTTCAAAAGCTCTCTTAAGTTGCTTAGACAAATCCTACTTGATATAAAAGCAGTAGGTGCCTACTTTTTCTTTATTTCTTGCATGAGGTAAGTTTGGTACACCAACACAATTCCAAATATACTTATGTGAAATTGAAAGCAAGCCAAGCATGATTTTATATATGAAAGCTTCTTACTCAGCAAACTTAACATGATAAACCAACAGACACGCTCCTGTGCTTTCAAGTATGTTTTGATATATACCTCTTATGGGGTTTTAAACATGAAAAATTGCTATATATGAAGTTTAACGGACTTGGAAATTTAAAACCAAGGTCTATCCTTTAAGATAATTCTGATGTATTCCCTGAAGAAGGTATTTTTATGCATAAAATTTGCCTCGAAACCTGGTGTTCCTGTGCATGAGCAGTAGAGCTCTGAGACTGTATTCACCCACAGAAATACCTAATTCTTTGCTGGGTCGACATACATTATTTGTATGTCTTGACACTTGAGCACATTTCCATTCTAAATCCCCAGTACAGAGCTTTTTTTTTCAGATATTTGCAACTTTATATATATTAGGTAAGAAAAACATGTATACCTCTTAATCCAGTGCTGATGGCTTTCTGTTTTATCCTTTCCAGCGGAACTCCTGCTTCAGTACAATCTGAGAAACATTTTTCTGAGTATTTCCCTAAGTAACATGTCCTGAGTGACTTTTCCATTAAGGATTTTCTTCATTCCTTCTGCTTCTAGTTCTTATATAGTTGTCCAAGTGTTCAGGAGGGTGTAGTGTGAGAGAGAAACTTCTGCCACTGCAGTAGACAGGCAAATTGATTACTTTCTACTTGGGGAATCTGGTTCTGCCTGTTTGAAACCCAGCCTTGCTGAGGGGTGGATCCATTGCTGGAACTGCCCAGCAGCAGGAAGTGCCTGGGAGCAGCTCCTTGAATAGAGAGGCCTTAAGAGCTGGAAGTGGAACACAAGTGTAAGTGCAGGGCTTGCTTTCTTCTACACCAGAAGGGAAAAGGAAGCAAGGTTAGATGGATCTAATAGTAGATGGAAAACAAAACCCAGCAAAATAATGCCTTTTACGACAGTATCTTAAAAATATTTTAACTCCATTTATGTGTTTGACCTAAAGTCTGAGGTGTTCAGTAAATGTATGACCTGAGCAAACCACTTCGCTTCCTGGGGAGTATTAGGTGGAGGCAGTTATTTGGATATGCTGCTTTTCCAGATATAGCATCTTAGCCATATTTTTTGAATGCTCAGTCAGTGTTGCTGCAGAGAAGATGGAAACTAATTGACCAGAAAGACAAATATGACACCTTTCAAGGTATTAGAGGGTAAAAATCAGCAGCTACTGCAAGCTGTAGGACTTCAGTGTCACACTGACACTGAGCTGTGCAGCTCACCAGCATTTCATTCTGCCTCAGCTGTGCTTTGTAGAGTGTGCAGTCCAATAACACAGCACAGAGTACAGTTATTTAATCTTCAGGTGAGAAAGGAATAGGCTGTGGCAACAAGCACTGCTCAGAAATATTTTCTTCAATTAGATCTGGATGAATTGACAGCACTGCTGAGCAATGCTTTTGGAGACTGAAGGGCAGCACAGTAGGATTTTCAGATTGTAACAGAGATGTTAAGTGGTGGGGAAAAAAATGGAGATAATTTTTTCCAATCTTGTAATTACTTTCCATAGCTTTCTTGAATTTAATTTAATTTTTTCCCTGGTTTATCCTATTTCATAGCTAAACACTGAGAGGACATTTCATGTTCTGGCTGGTTGCTGAGAAGAAACAGTGACAAACATTGAAAATATCTTAGGCTCTGTATGTGTATTGACTGGGAATCTCTGCAGTGAATCATCCAAAGTGCTGTAGAAGTTCTCTCTTTGAGAAGTGGGAACAAGTTTTCAAAGGAGGGGCAGGGAGAAGAACCTTATACTCTTTTTAGCTCTGCAGGCAAGTCAGTAAAGTTCTGATTATCAGTGGGATGTAGGGATTGTATTCCCAGGATGATGATAAATAAGTGAACCATTTGGACCACAAATAGTTAAGAATGATGAAGGTTGAGAGAGACTGGACATTTGAGAAGCTACTTTTCTATGGTCTCCTTCATAAAAAAACTCTTCTAGAAAAGATGAAAGATTAAATAATGAATCATGAGGTTAATGATGACAAGGGATGTTTTTTTGAGCTGTAGATGCAATACAGCTTTTTCCCTAATGTTTCTTTGAAAGTAAAAACTCTCTTGGCAGTAAAATAATTAAGAATTGAAACTCTCATACTGTGATTCTGGAAAATATGAAAGAATAAGGTCTTAGACCAAATTGATGTGCTGACAAGTTCTGCTAACTGTGGAGTGAATTCTTACCATTGTTCCTTCCCAGCAAGGAGTATGATAAATCCAAAGTACAAGCTTTGGCCTAATGTTCCCTAAAAGCCATTTGAGTTAATGATGATTACTTGATGTCTGGTTCCAAAACCTTCTGCCATTGAGTTCATGAAAGCCAAATATTTGTCTTCTTATCCAGAAGGTTGAATCAGAGTTCTCATGTAATTGAAATGTTGCAAGTGCAATTTTCAGATTCCCTAATGCTGTGGAATGCTCCTTCTTGCAGCTTTTGCACTTAGCTTGGATTATTACTGTTGCAGAATGTGCAAAATAAGATTGTGTTGTATTCTTGTAATCCTAAATGGATGTCTATCTTCTGGAGTCCTCTTTGGTGCCATATATCTGAGAAATAAGAGAATGATAGCACTTCATCTTACAGAACACTTTTTTATTGTTAAGCTATGTGGGTTTTTTTTGCTTCCTGCTATTTAATAAGGTATGTTTCCTCCCTCTGAGCTTTAAGTTTTACTTGGGAAGAACAAGTTCAAAACATCACATATGAAGTTGTTTGGCGTTAGAGAGAAATATTTGATAATAAGGCAGACCTGAGGTGATCATGAAGCAGGAATTGCTTATGGTTTGGAAGCTGCAAAGTTCTGGAACTTTCATCCAGTGACTCCAACAGATTACACTGTGTAACTTTAGATGTAAAACAGGATGGTCTTTTACATCTTAGCTGTAAATATAATTGCTTTCTCTATAAATAATTATTAAGGAATTACTACGCACCTTAGTGATTGTTTAATTTTAATATCTGATGAAAAGGGTGCATGGACTAAGTAGAAAGTTTAAGTAGAAAGCATAATGAATTAAAGATGAAATAAGACATTTTATCTTTCCTTTCTCACTCTTTCCCTTCTTCCTACTTTTCTCAAAAACTTAGCTTTTGGAAATTCGTGAGTCTCTCTTGTGTCATTGTGCTAAGTGTTTCTTTTGATCTTTTCTCCAGGCTGGCAAATAAGCAGGACAGAGAAGGAGCTCTGTCAGAAGCAGATGTAATCGAGTCCTTGTCTCTGGAGAGGCTTGTCAATGAACACAAGTGTCTCTGTCAAATTGTATGTATGTTGTAACACGCTTCATTTTCTAATTTCTAATTATATATATGTAAAGCTTCCAGTAAGGTAGAAACTAAAATCTTGCGTTCCCAGAAAAGATACAGTCCATGTATCTGTTCTGCAAGAAATTCTACTGCTCACCTTGACGTTCTAACAAATGTTTACAATGGAGATCCTCAAAATGTAATTGCTGCTCTGTTCTGAAACCATGTAAGAATATTTAAGTTACTGATGTGGTTTAAAACTTGTTTAATTGAACAGCAAATTTAAGTATTCCAGCTTTTTTAAAAAGAAGCAGAAAAGGAACTTGCCTGTGTTGATATTCAGGAAGGATGACTGTTCAGATGTGATTTTTCTCTTGGCAAAAAAAGATTTGTAAATATTTCTGAATTTATGGAATGCCTAAATACAGATTTACTTCCCATACTTCTCCGTGTTTTGCAGTAAACAGTAATTGTTTAGCTAATTCCTTGTTTTCAGTCAAGGAATGTGATCTGAACTGCAAGTACTTTTCCGCTCCTTCCCCTTACATTTACAGGAACCTTGCTCAGCTATCATGGGCTATGGGAAAAAAATTGACAAATCAATAAAAAAGGGGTTATTTTGGCTTCTACATATCATAGCCAAAGATTTTGATGCCTTAAATGAGAGAATCCAAAGAGACACCACAGAGCAAAAGGCATATGAAGAACAGAAGAAACTGGAACGAGCTGAGCGAGTAAGAAGGATACGAGAAGAAAGGTATTGTCTCTGTAATTTCTGCTTCCTCCTCTTCTTCTTTTCTCTAAGATAATTGATTCATTCCTGTAAGTGCAACCAAGCTGTCAAGGATTTAGAACTTACAATCCAAGAGACTCCATATTAAAAGTACAGACCTGAATTCTAGAGTTTTTCTGCAGGACCTACAAGATTTTGTCTGGTTCATGCCCTTTATCTTATTTGCTCCCTGCTTGAAATGTACTGTGAATGAGAACTGCATGGTAGTTATGGAGTAAATTTGGCCTTACTAATATAACTTCACAAAAGGCTAACCCAAAAAATAAATCCTGGCATTTAATCTTAAATTGCCTTCAAGTGTATTCTAAATTAAACTTCTGTTAAGGTAGACTCTGTAACCAATATGTGAGTATCAAAGACTAGATGTGAAACTGTATTCAACACTATGCTTAATAAACTCCAGGATATCTAATAGGTGAGGCATGAAGAAACTAAAGATGGCGCAGTGAGGGGAAGCAGGACAAGTGGTTTATTATTTCCCTTCAAAGCCGTTTCTGGTCTTCAGCAGCCTACTGTGGTTCCTATTAAAGACTGATGTGAATCATTTTACTGAGGAATTATTAAAATATTTGCTGAGCACCCCGTCCTCCTTATAAAGGCAGAGGTTTGTGAGTCTCAGTTACTGTGAGAAACTCCTGTGAAGTGTCTTGGCTTATACTCTTGCTGTTTTGGTTTACTTCAGCAAGTAACTGAAGCACGTTTTAAACCCCTGGAACTTGACATGGTCTTCATGCACATTTCACAAACTTACAAACCCATATACTGTTAGTCTGCCAGATATCTCTGTACAGACACAACTTTCTGACCATGATGGATTGCATTGGGTTAATGCCATGCTGGGAAGTGTGGGGAGGAGGAGTAGCTTTGAAACATGTCTCAAAGAAACTGGCTGATGATATGGGCATTTCCTCTCCCCACTCAGTGACCTTAGTTGTATTTGTTCACTGGAAAAATTGATTGGATCTGAATTGGATTAAAGGCTTAAAAGTTTTGCTAAAGTTCTTGTGCCTTAAAGGAAACCTGAGTAGTAACTTCTGTTGGTTTTGCTTGTCTCAGGTATAAGAGATGACATGAACTCTCGATTTGCTGGTTTGCATCAAATCAATTTCTTGTTGTAAGACATAGGTTAATCTTGATTCTGTTGTAATTCTGTTTCATTTTGTGTTTCACTAATTCCCCAGGGTTCTTTTTTGTTCAGAAAGTGCATTTCCTCCACAATATGTTAGTAGCAACAACCTTGTTTCCAATGGAAAACGAGAGACAGTGGTAGTGCTGTGAAGTTTTCAACAGCACTGTCTGTTCCTTCCAAGCATTATGTTTTCATGGGCAGATTACTGTCTTCCTTTTCATTCCCCTCTGTGCCTCTGAACAAGGAGTTTGTTCCTTCCTCTCTCAGCACTTACAGCTGCAAAATAGGTGTAACAGTGACTTCTATGTGCAGTTACCATCAGATGATTCATGAGAAGTATTTGATGAGAATGTACTTTATCAGTGATGTATTATTTAATACATAGCAATGTAATATTTCTTATATAAATATCTGGAACATAAAAAGTAACTAGTGCTGGTAAACTGAGCATTATGTGTCTTTCTGAACTTTTCTGAGTCTGGGCGAAGGAAGTGTGATTCCCTTCACAGAACCATAGAGTAGTTTTATTTGGAAGGGACCTTTAAAGTCCATGCTGGCATAAATTGGGACGTGAGTTGGGTGATCTAATAATTTTTCTCTATAACATTTATGGCTTGGCTTCTTCAGAATTCTTTGTTCATTCTCCCCATCTTCCCTCCTCCCCCCCGAAAAAACCCCAAACCAACCAAAATCCACAAATGCCAAAACCACTGAAACAACAACAACATAAACCCACCAACAATGCCAAAGGGAAAAAGAAGAAGGAGCTGTACCTGATGAGGAAGACCCTGAGCCTGGGAAATATCAGAACCCCTTCCAGCCTATATCTGCTGTAATCTCTGAGGTATGAGATGGTGTGGAAATCTGGATTATTTTAGAACTACCACTAACAAATGTCTGAGAGGTCGTGAGAAAAATGGTTAATTTCCAAGAATTGGTCTAAATCTGTCTGCACACCATTTTTTAATTTGTATTTAATCTTGGCAGTCTTGGTTTGTGTGCATTCAATCAATGTTTTCATGATAAGAAACCCCCTATTATAAATTTGGGGACAAAAGTGTTGTAGGCATAGTAAACTAGATCTAAACACATGACTGAACGTATTTCCTAATTAAACCAGTGGGGATTCAGAAGTGGAAATATTCATGGTCTGTTTGCTTCTTGTATGATGTAGTGAGTCATAAAATCTGACTGACCTCTACAACTGTTTAGATTTCTGAGCATAACGTGTTTTCAATTGAAAATTGACACTATTGAGAAGTTTTTTAGTTTTGAAATATGAAAATCACATTCATATATTTAAGTTTCTTTAACCCATGTTTCTCAGTTCCGGTAGTTCTTATTTATTGTGCCATGTTTTTTTATTCAGTTGACTGGAGATAACATAATCTAAAGAAACATGTAAACTTTTCCAGTAAGTAACTCAAATATTTGCTTTTCTCCAGGACAAAAGCACCCACATCCACGTAGCATGTAAAGTCAGCTGCATGCACAATAATACATTTAATAATAACATACAGAGGAAGAAGACAGAGTGTGCATATTGCAGAGATGGTGATTTAGTGATATAGAACTTGTGAAACAGCCTGGGATTGAGTCTGTATAACACAATAGGTATTTGTCCAAATTGTGGTGGCATTTTCAGGATACTTAAGCTCTTTGAAACTGTATTTTGTTTTAAATAAACATAAAGTAAAACGTAATCAAAGAGGAAGAAATTAGAAGTTTTCTAACCTCAGGACTGCTGATATTATTTATATTCCTATTTTGGTTTATTTTTTTAATATGACCAAAAGTAAAGCAAGAAAACAGTAAAAAAACATAAAGATCATTAGTCAGTTTAAAAAAATTCTTTCCCATTTTTGTTAGAATGAAAAGCAAATAGAAAAGGAGAAGAAGCGGCAAAGGTTGGAGACTGAAAAGGCTACAATTGTCTTGAAATCACAAACAGAGCAGGACCAGATGGATGCCCAGCACTTACCAAGTAGCAGCAGCCAAAACACAACTGACAGCAGACTAGAAATGTGCAATTCTGCAACTACACAGCTTTTGCAGCACTCGGAAGAGAATGATCACCAAGCCTCAGATTGCCTTGACTCAGGTAAAACTTCCTTTGAATGTGTCATTTCATGTGATTTTTCGCATTGTTTTTCCATATTTTTTATTATTTTTAATTATATTTATTATATAATATTTTTTGTTTATTCTTTATTATTATTTTTCATGATACCACACATCAATTTAATCTATTGAAAACATGGAAATGCAGAATTAGGTTGTTGTATTGGAAAATCTTCTTCCAAAAAGTGCATGTTTGTTCATGTGGCTGATACTGTAGCTGAAATTGGGTTTGTTTTTTATCATCATCAAATATGCAGTCCACTTTCAACAGGACCCAGCTAAGTTGAATTTCGTTATGGAAACACAGAGTTTGCATATATTTTATGCTTAAAGTTTGTTTTCTATAGCAAAATGCTGTGTAACTTTTACATTTCCCATAATTTTGTGCATAAGTTCGGACTGAAAACACTGATGTGTCTCCTCAATAATTGTTTTAGAAGATGATCTAAGATATTCTCTGAATATAAGTGTATGATATGTAATGTTTTGTTTCTGTTTGCTATAGATAACAGTAAGAAAAAAAGTAAAAAACCAAAATTAAAAAGGGGCCACAGAGTAGAACCTATTAATCCAGAGGATTCTCTTCCCAAAAATCCAACACCACCACCAGCACTTCCACCAGGTGAGTGTACTAACAACCAGTAATTGATGTCTCAATTTGTGGTTGTTAATCCTTTAAAATATTCACTTGGGAATAATGAAACTGGAATGATCTTCATACAGAGAAATGCTACTAAACCTTCCTCTCTAGAAAATCTTTGATGCAGTTTCCCACTTCATTATAAGAACTTCCAGCAGTATTGATTTGGCCTGTTCCTTGGAGGAAGACATTATTTTCCCAAAAAGTGAGTCAGAAACTTGACTACTCCCGAAAAAGTGATTAAAATTATCACCATTTAAGGCTAAATCAGCTTCTTTTAAAAGTATTTCATAGTTATTCACCATGGATGCAATATATTGCATATCTTGGGTGTTTCTAAATGCTTTGATTTCCCCCAAAATGAGCTGGTTTCTGTTCAGTTCCTCAGAATCAAGAGCAGTCATGGCATGTTTTGACAGTCTTTGTTTTCCTTTAGTTGGCTGGGGAACTCCCAAACTAAATAGACTTCGAAAACTTGAGCCTCTTGGTGAAACACATCATGCTGGTAATTGAAAGTATTTTGGGTTTTGTACTTTTTGAAAGTATTCTCCATTGTTCATTCACTTCTACATTCATTTCATTCTTCATCTTTTTTTTTTAGTGTCTTAATTCTGATCTTCATTGACCAAAACCTAAACCTTTTGCTTAGTAGAAAGCATCTTTTTGATTTTTCAAGTTTTTTGGGGTTTTTTTATGGAACGGAAATTTATGTTAGATTCCCTTATAAAGTTTAAAATGGCTTGGGATATCAGGAGCTATTAATGATCTGAAATTATTCGCATAGCAGCAGTACCTAAACATTAAAAAGTGCCATATTACAAACGGTAAGAGGACCAGTTCAGGACCAATTATTTTAAGAGTCCAAATGAAAACTAAATTATTGGCCTGGAAGGAGAAATGTCAGTGAAAAATCTTGGGATCTGCTGCTTTACCTGAACAACCAGAGTCCCTTAGATTTCATAACCTACGAGCAGAAATAAGTTCAATAACTGGAAATATAAAGGTGAGGTAGGCAGATGCTTGATTTCTTGCTTCAGTAATGGCTGTTTTCTATTTTTGGAAGATCCTGGAAGATTGTTTTTCATATGCTCACACTGCATTTTTTTTCTGAGTTTTAGATGGTACTTCCTTTGTTTTTCTTACATTTTTATTTTTCAAATGTTGAATAGCCAAGTGAACATGGAGACATCTGGAGTAATAGAGGAGAACAACCAAACTAAAGCAATGAGAACACTTATACAAATTGAATAAAGAGAACATTAGTTGAGAAACTTAAGGAGAAAAGAGCTGTGGCTGTAGTTACTCTTGAGCTTAACCCTGGCTTGAATTAATTGAATTATTATCATGAAATTTTGAAACAAGAGAACATGGAGCTTTTCTGCCAAAGAATCAAAAGCTACCTAAAGGGAAAATAAGATTTCTGAACCTTAGATATTTATTTCTCACAGGAATGAGATTCATGTGCATAAAATGTAATTTATTATCTTAATCATAAAACCATCTCACTCTTTTTTTAAAGGCACATAGAGAGAAGGCTGCAAGAGAGAAAAGCCAGATGAAGAGGTAGGGAGGGGAAGAAAGGGAATTTTAATTTTTATCTGTTGCATTTTGTAGCAAGAGCATGGGTGGGAACAAAGAGAAAACCAATTAATTTGGAAGCTAACACTGGAAAATATGTTGGTAGGAATCTCTTAACCAGAGGTGTCACCACTGAGATCAGAGCAAACTTGAAGTGCTCAGGACTTTGCAGCTGAATTCAAGACTTGGGCTGCTCTTTGCTGAGATTTATTCTTTTTCTCAGGAATTTTGAGACTCACAAGTTTCACACAGAACAGAAAATCCTAGGAAAGCAAGAAAACATCCATTAGAAAAGCACTATTTATAAATGAAAAAAGCTGTTCAAATGCACAGTCAAAACCTTCAGTTAGGTCCTGGTAGCCAAGAGCATCAATTACTTATTTTGGTTAAAGCAGCTGTTTTCTTTTTCATTCTGACCATTTGAGATCCATAGAATGATGGAATCATTTATGTTGGAAAGGACCCTTAAAATCATTGAGTTCAACTGTTAACCCAACATTGCCAAGTCTATCTTGCACTGATTTAACTTGCCATCAGAGAGTTTTTACATATTTTGCAGACTGAGAACCTGCTCCTGATGGGATACTTATTGGAATTTTTCTAAGACCCGTGATTCTTTATTTGGAATATTCCCTGAATTGCATCTTTCTGAAAACCATCTTTTTGGCTGTCCCTTCAGCAGAGAAATAATTCAGTGTTGCTTTTTTTCCCCCAGCTTTGCCCAAAATCCACTCCCAAGTTGGGTTTAAAAGTTTTCTCAGACATTCAACCTTTGTGAAATAAAAAGGCATTTTTATTTCCCTTTTGGTTTCATGATTAATTTATATAAATAGCTTGAAGGAACAATTTGCAGACAAAGTAGAGATTCTAGTAGAGATACTTTTCAATAAGGAGAGTAGTAAGTCCTTTGTGTTTGTCTTAAATTATTTTTTTATTGTAAGTGTCAGATATTTAGTAATTCTTGCTGCTGAAATATGTAAAATTTGGGTAGTGTGAGGCTGAAACAACCTCCAAAGGTCTGGTTTTTAATGTTAGGCTTTCTCAAACATATAACTCTGCCTTAATTATGCAAACTGGAAAATTTAAGTGTTAATGAGCAGGCTATTTAATGTATATATTGAGTTATTTTTGTGTCATTCTTAGAAGAGAATGTTGAATTGGCTGTTAACAGGCAGTAGAGTCAATTATATAAGTCTTTAATTTTACACTTATTTCAGTAAAGACTGCAATTTTTCCAATCATAATAATGATTCTGGCACAACATTAGGTAATGAGTGTCTGTTTATTGTTGGTGGAGGATACATTTGCAAGAATAATAAACCTCTTCCAGTATAGGAGGTAAAATTATCTGTCATTCCTAAAGTGGTCTGCCAGACCTCAAGAAATTTATAAATTGATTAATAAAACCATCCATTGTACAGGTTTTTATTTGCCTGGTACTCGTTTGTTGCAGTTTTCTTGCTGCTGTAACAGTGAATTAGCACTATTAAAATCAAAAGATTTACTACAATAACATAAAAGTGTTATCATTTTGCTGATTAAATGTAAGGAAAACTAAAACCTTGATCCTGCAGACATGTACATATAGTCTTAGAGTAGTGTAATCCACCTTGTTTGCTTTTGTTAATTCTAGCTCAGGAGTGCAATTTTAAGTTATTGCATATGTAGAAAAAGTGGAATATATTCTTCTTGGGAAATTTTGATTTATTAAAGCTGAATTTTGTGTTGGCAGGCCATCAAGGCTTTGCTGGGGAAGAGGTGGTCTGTATAAACAAAATTGAGATTTGAATGCTTCAAAAAGCTGCTTTTGTTTTTTCTTGATTTCTACCTGTTTCCTCTTACCATCTCTCATATTATTTTGCTTGTGAAATGCTTTGCATGTACCCATCTGCATGGTTGTTTTTTAATTTTATATCAATTACAAATGTTTGAGAATACTTGTCACTCTCTTCTGATGTACCTATTTACTTTGTCTAGAGCAGTTTTACTACTTTGAACTCCTTTATTGACAAAAGAAAATGTTGCAGTTTTTTTAAAAAATTCTTAATATAGTTCTTTTAGAAAGTTAGTATGACTTGCAAGATAAATGCCATGCATAAATGGTCCCAAAATTTTGGATGCTGCATAGTGTTACTGTCACTTAAAACCATATTGCAATGAAGACTTTACAGCAACATTCAAATTTTGATACTTGATTTTTTCAGTTTGTTGTTTGCACACTTTGGATTTCTCATTTCCTATTTTTAGGGATGTTTACAGATCACCTTTGGGCTTGATCTTGCAAATGCTGCTGCATGTATAATAAAATGTAATTAAACCCTCTTCTGGGGTTTAATCTCTAGACATTAATTAGCACTAGGTTTGAAAGTTGCTTGTAGGAATTAGCTCTTAACTTGTAGACTACCTAGCTTTCATTAAAGGAAGCAAGAATTTGCCATATGTAAAAATCCTTTGGGTGACAGATTGATGTGTTTTTCTTCTCTGGAATTTCTTACACAGATTTCTATGGAAAGCCTCTGCCCCCACTGACTCTACGCCAAAGACCCAACGGTGACACCCATGATGTCGTTGCTTAACTGGATCCCAAACAGAATTTAAAGCCACAAAATGAAAAAATTCCATCAGAAACATTTTTTTTGCCCTTGAAGGAAAATTTTTAAAGTGACACTTTATCGGCATGTTGCAAAATGACTTGGTGACAATTAATCTGGAGTTCGTTCTGTCAAACTTAGTTGATCTTGTCATTCCACATCACCAGCACTTCTTCAGGGTTCAGTGTGAAATAAGAAAGGTCTGTGTGTCCATGGATGTGAACATGGTATTGAATATTTACTTGTGAAAATACATATCCATAAACCTGAAGAAAAACAACTTCAAGATCACTGGATTGTACCGTCCCATCGAGACCTTCCTCCAGGTGCTGTGCAGTCGTTGGTATTTTTTCAGCTCATAAATTATTTTGTAAGATTCATTGTATGATACGGTGACTATAGAAAGGCTAAACAAATATTGAGTATATTTTTCTACCTTTTTATAAAATGATTTGGAGTGGACATGTGTACCTGCTACCAATAAAGTGATACCTTGGAAGCATTAGAAAGCTGATGGTCAAGTCAATATAAATACAGTGTGTTTGACTCTTACAGTAGCAAAACGCCTTTATTAGGGATTATATTACTAGGTGTAGTATTTCATATTTCTGGCAACCTGAAGCAAGGATTAAGACAGAAAGTTTAAAATAACTACATTTTATACAAAATATTGCTATTTGAACTGTCTGAAAGTTTTCTTATCTGTTGTTTTCTTTGTTTTGTTAACTGAATCTGACATAGGTAATAAATTCTGTGGAAAAAAAATTTAGTTGGATATTGTATTGACTACTACAACATACAAGAAAATTGCACATAGTGGAAGTTTTGCACTAATTCAGTCATGAATTTTGATGGAAAACTGAACCAACCAATATGCAGATAAACTCCAACGGGGTTTAATCTTGATAACACTAAAATACTATCTTGAAAACTAAAGAAACCCCAGGGTTTTAAGGATTTAAACAATACTTCCATGTAGTGTGTTTATCTACATTAAAAAAAATCACATACAAGTGATTAATTAACAACAAGGGTTACAAATTGATATATTCCTGTTTAAATGTTTTCCCTCTTATACTAGAGACAACAATTGGTGTCTTGTGTAAAGTATATTGTTATGCCACTTAGTTACAGTAAGGATGAAACCCCCATTCAAAGGGATTTTTTTGAAGAAGGAGTATTTGATTATTGATTATTTTATATTACTCTCCATCTTCAATAACATGGTAATACCAAATTACTTCAGGAGATGTTAAAACAATGCAATGTTTATGTTCAGCACTTTGATATTGGAAATCTTTGCCATATGCCCCTTATGAGTTGCACAAATAGACATCCACCATATTAATCAAAATTAATTTTTATTAAGATTTTTACAGAATGTGTTTGGGGGGTGGAATCCATCTTGAGGTAAGTTTGGAATGGGTGGAGAGGTAAAGTCCAAGTTTAGTGAAAGGATGAAACACTTTGTATGTGACTACATGAGAATACTTTTTTGTATTCTAATATTGTAACATAATTTGATTATTCTCAGAATTTGGTCATTTTCACTTGAAACAAACACAATATTAAGTGGAGGGGAGGTTGCATAAATGTTTATGTGTGCAATCTCAATTTTAACTTTAGCTCTGTTACCACTTAAGTTTTCAGCTTAAAGGCTCTACTTATTTTTTTTACAGCTTCAGTTTCTAGGAGTGTATTACCCTTTTATTTTACCTCCTATCAAAAATAAATGAATGAAAGTCTTCACTGAAAACAAAGCTGAATGTGCTATTGTAACAACGTCTGAGAAACTAAAATGTCAGGTGTTGATACATATGAACTGTTTTATGTATGTTGTGTGTGGACACATGTATCATTTTTGATTTTGCTTTTAAAATAAATTTTACCAGTATGTGACCAAAGTACTCAAAAACGTTTTTACAATTTTGTCTGTTATTATGCTCTGTAATTTACTATGGTGGGGTTTTTTTGAGTAATTTATACAACCTTGACTTTTTTTTTTTGCTCAAGCTGACATTTATATATGGAATAAAACTAATGCGCAGCATCAACATGTTTCCTGTATTATCATAAATTTACAATTTTTTTGGAAGCAAGTATGGTCATAAATATTGAAGGTCTGCAAGTCTCCTGTTTTTAAAATGTACAAAATAGAGACCATATAGACAGAATTTCTGCATATTTTTTTTAACAGCAATGTGATCAAATTTAGAATATATTGATAGATTAGCACTAAGTTATGTGTATATGTGTACATATAAAGTGCTTTTAATATTTGAGAAGTAAATTGAGAGGTAGTTATTGCACAAATTAGAAGATTGATGCTTTTTGTTGTCAATAATATCACTTCCAAAATGTATCAGTGCATTCAGCTGAGAGTATTTGTACCTAAATACAGGAGTGGTAAGAACACAGAAATGCACTATATAAGCAGAACATTTTGCATTGTCTGTGCAACATGTTAAGTACATATTTTAAAGATAAGTTAAATGTATCTTCTAAAATAAGGATTAATAATTCTCATGAGCTGAATTAATGTGAAGGAGAATCAATGCATCAAAATCAGTTCTTCTGCTTCTCTTCCTTTTTAGTTAAAACCGAGAATCCACAGGACCTTACTCATAGATTTAAAGGTTTTAAATGCACATTAATAACTATAATTGTATTATTAAAATTAGGTATATTTGATATCCATTAGATTTAGTTTCACATCTCTGATGGTAACTGATCCTCTGGAGGCCCATCTGTCACTTAAAAACGGATTTCCCAGTTTTGCTACTTTAGGTGGCTTTTGAAATAAGATTGCTTCAAGTGGTCTCATGACAATTTTCTTCACCAGTAGAAACCAGTATATTTCCTGAAAACTGTTATTTTTTCATCTAACAATGTCACATTACAAAAGATTGATGGACAGTAACAAAGTAATCAGCACAGGCTTTTTTTTTCCTTAAAGATTCAAGCAGTATTTTTTCCAGTAGTATATTCTAGTATTTTAGTGGAAAGCTTGACACTGTAAGTTCAGAATGCCACCCACTAACTTTGCCATAGTCTGTTAGCTTCCTACCTTTTGGAATTCTTTCAACTTGAAGTACTTTAAGCCCTAGATTTAGGGGGAGGATACTCAGCATAATTTTTTGTTTCATTGGTACTGTAAAATTCAATTACTGTATATATTTTCTTCTATGGTACTGGCCTTGGCAGAATTACAGCTATGGAGAACTGTACTTTTCATACCAGTTTTGTTCTGTATCTGTTGGTACAACTCATTTATCCGAAAGTCTTTCAGGTTTCCTTTCACGTTTGATACATAGGAAGTATCCATTTTGCCTACAGGCCCTTTGTCACAATCCTGATTGAACATTTTAAATAAGCTTTCAAGTGTGATGGTAATTTGCCTAAATGTTCTTAGCTTTCGTGAGTAGGTGCCTGAAACTCAAATATTTATCTATACGATAGCTCTCCTACTATCATATAGATGACCTTTGCACCCCTTTCCAGTCTGGATTTTTGAGGCCAGTTTCAGCCCTGGTTCGTTTTCCAGAGAATGGCTTATCTGAAAACACAGGTAAGATACTTGTGGGAATAATTCTTAAGTCTCCATCAATTTTTTATGGCAGTAGCAGCAGGTTGAGCTGGAGCTGATCCCCGGTGTGGTTCAGAGGAGGCTGTTGGGCAGCTGGACAGCAGCTGCAAAGCCTGGACCAGCCAGAAGTCTGGGTCTGGTGAAAAGGCACCACCAGAGTCCTGACTGGTGGGTGGGGTGGGATGGCAACAGCCCCCCCCGGGAGGCAGGTGCTGAGATGAGGATCAGTTTTGTAAGTTGACTGAGAATCCAGTTGCTGCCTGATCCTGGTTTATTTCCTGGGGAGGCAGGATGGCAGTACAGACTCCCAAAGTAAGAAAAGAAAATCACAAAGAAACCAAAATCAAATGAAACAAAAAAACCCCAAACAAACAAAAAAAAAACCACAAAAAACACAACACAAAACCAACTAACCAACCAAGCAAAAATAAAGCCAAAAAACCCCAAATAACTTAACACACTCCCCCCAAAAAACCAAAAAACACAACAAAACCCGAAAAACAAAAAAACCCAAACAAACAGAACAAAAAATCCCAAAGCAAAACAAAAGCAAAAAAAAAACCCAAAACAAACAACCAAAAAGCCCAAAACCAAACCAAACCAAAACCTCAAACAAACGGGGAAAAAAAAACACACACAAAAAAATCCACAAAAAACCCCAACCAACCAAAAACCAAACAACCAAACAAAAAACCAAACCAACAACAACAACAAAAAAAAAACCAACAAAAAGTCCAAACTAAAGAAACATAAAGGTCAGGAACTGTACTGACAGGACAAGGTGTAATGGGTAAAAATTAAGAGGGGAAATTTAGGTTACACACGTTAGGTAGAAATTCTTTACTGTGGGTGTGGTGGGACACTGGCACAGGTTCCCAGGGAGATAGTGCGTGCCCCAACCCTGACGGTGTCCAAAGCCAGGCTTGGATGGTGCCTTGACCAACCTGCTCTAGTGCGAAGTGTCTCAAACCATGGGAGTTCAGACTAGACGGTCTTTAAAGTCCTTCCAACCCATGATTCCATGGAAAAACCGTAGGGGGCGGGGAGTCCTGCCCCCTGCCCTGCCCCGCTGTGCCGGCGGGGGGCGCGGCGGCCGCGCTGGGTGCGGCTATGCGGCTGCGGGCGCTGCTGCCGCGGGGGGCGGCCGGGAGGACACCGGGGCAGGGGAGCAGCGGGACGGGACAGGTGAGCAATGGGCCCACAGG